GAATGACTCTGCTGGGACCAACAGTCACATGGCAGAAATTCATGGATTTTTTTTGGCTGAACTGCAGGCTGTGTTTACAAAGAGCAGATTTTAGACATAGAAACAAACTAAAAAAATCTAAATAGGAAAATATCTATAGTAGCCGATGTAGCATGAATATATGTTTTCCATTCCAGTATTTGTAAAACTCGTGTGCACTTGGAAAAATTTAGTACATGTTGATTTGAGGACTGTTAAATTTTTGAAAAATTATTTTACTTTTGATGATTTCTTGTATCGTCTTTGTGTCATACTCCACAGAAGACATTTTTGAGTGTCTCTTTACTTCTGGTCATGGTTGTTCTGGTCCCAAGAAGAGGTGCAGGACTTTATAACAGAGTGAAAAATGAACCCACAGTGCATGAAAATGTGACAGAAGCAACAACAACAACAAAAAAAACACCCAGAAACTGCTTGGGGTTCAGCGGGTTAACCAACCAGTCCACATTCGGTGTGTGTATTCCTGCTGTATGAGAACTTTGACAGCAGCTCACAGTTAATTCCCTCTCAGTAAAACGTCAATTTATTCTATACTAGTTCAACTGGGTCAAGTTGTATTGGCTTACAAGCTCAATGCAAGTTATTTTCCAAGTGTTAAGACACAGAACACACCCAAGTTAATCATTATCCCCAAGTGGCAGGTGTTTCCTTATTGCTGAAGATTGATCTTCCAAAGTATGTTTCCGTATCTGCCACTTCCTCTTAGCTGCAGTAAATTAAAACTCCAATGTTTTAGCTTAATTATTTACTTAATTTATGTTCGGGACACCTTAAAGCAGCACTAGTCAATGTTGTTATACTGCAGTAATGGATTTGTGGACTGTGTTGTGTGGAAATTGGCAGCTTTCTGGTGAACATATTGGAACATTTACACCAACGCAGAACTAGAATGGGAGAGAATGTTTTGCTTACATTCATCCAGTAAAAATAAAAAAAAAGAAAGAAAATCCTAATATTGACAACTAATAATGGCAAAGTATCAGTGGTGGGTTGTCCAATGCTTCCTTCTGGTGTCATAAAAATAAACAAAAATAAGAGTTATGGCAGCTTTGATAATAATCATCCACACTTTAGAAAAAGCTGGAACGTGTTTGGTTTACTAGTGAGATAGGTTAAGGCCAGACTGAGTAGCACAACAAAGAAGTCACAACTGGAATTCAGTGAACAATATGCTGGAATGTCTCAAATCTTAAGAGGTCAGCACTCTTCCCATGAGTACCCAACAAACATTGCACCTCCTCTCAGCCGCATTAATTAGACGCGCCTGCTCAGTCGTGTTCGTTTTCAGATGAAGCTCAAACTTAGCCAGAGATATCCGCCAGAAAATCTGAAACCACTTCTCAAAGACTTTCACAGGATATCTAATGTAAAGCACCCAACATCACAGATTCATGACGTGTAAGAGTTTTAAGTGCAAGTGTGAGCGAGCATGGGTGGATATTGGCATAATGAGGAGCTGCCTTGGTGGCCCACACTCTCAGTCCTGTCAATCAAAAATCTCTTCTGCTGCCAGAGGAGCCAGATCTGTAGATGCACTGTGTTAATATTTAATCGTCGGAAAGTCCGCTGCGCCCCCGAGTTTCCCGGCTTATTACCGCACGGTTAGCTGACCTGCCACCTGACTGCTGAACAATTGTCTTATCCTCATGGGACAGACGAGACCCTGTGACCTTCAGAGGAGAAAGGTCTGAGAGTGTGGGAGGCTGGACGGACCCCATACTGAGGCCTTTGTCTCGAAATGTCACCAGCTCATGGAAATACGCTCTCACTTGCCGCTAACTCTGGCAGCATCTCATCCCGGGACTATTGTCTCGTTAACGCATGTAGCCTCTCCCTCGTGAGCCGACGGTGGTGCGTTTGCTTTCGGCTCGGCCTTATCGTTTCCTCGTGTTTTTATTGATCGAGCTTATCTCCCCGTGAGGCGCGTCCGCACTCACCTGCCTTCTTTTAGATATCGGCGACGACGGTTGCCTCCTTTGTGTGTTGCACCGGGATGAGTTGTGCGTGTGCGGCGCGCTCAGCCCTTGTCTCTTTTATTTAGTCTGAAGAGTTGTAGTGTTGCGGAACAAAAGGCCACGAGTCAAAGCCCTCCTCTGTGAGTGGGCATTGTTGTATTTATATCTGCGTGTACAAGCAGCGGTCGTCGGCTCCGTTCTCTCCGGCAGCATTTCACTTCGCTGTCACATCCTGTGCTTTTACGCAAAATCAATACGGTGGTTTTAAAGGTTACAGTCAGTTAAAGTGACCTGTCCGTGTCGCATTTGAGTCGCACAGGTAGTAAAGTGGTTAAAACTCACTGACACTGATTGTTTTGTTTTATCCTGTAAGTTAAGAGCAGTGGAAGAAGTTACCATCAGCTCAGGTTTGCTTTAGGTTCTGGAAACAGGGGAGAACAGCTAACCAGGCTTTGTCGAAAGGTTTTGGTACCAATTACACAAATGAGAAATAGCATGCCAATTTCTGAGCTTTACATGTGCTGGTAAGGGGATTTTGTGACCTTCGGACAGATCCAGATTAGATGTTTCCTCTTGTTTCCAGTCTTTGCGCTAAGCTGCCTGTCTGCTGGTTACAGGGTTATGTGGAGCTGCAAAGATCAATCGATTAGTTGCCATCTGTTAGATTATTCACCAGCTATTTTGATAATCAGTTACTTAAATTATTTCTTTAAGAACGGGACAGACATTTTCAAACTAAAGCATGTTTCCAAAGAAAGCAGATATTGCTGAAGATGTCATAAACACCACAATCTTATCTTTTAGCTCCCAGATAAACTAAAAATGTCTGAATATCTGAATTTGTTGCAGGGATACACAGTTAGCTATAATGAGATAATACAGCGTATTAATATAATGATGGATATATTTTTGAGTAATGTTGGTACAAGTGCAACTGGAACTTATTTTGCTAATGATGCTAGGCTAAGGCTATCGCTACGCTGTCAGGCCTGTGGCTAACGCTATCTGGAGTACTTGTAACATCTCTCTAAAATTAGTCTTAGCAATCTCCTCAAACAGACAGGTGTCTCTCTAGCGGAGACAGAACCTGCAAAAACTAAAAAAAGAAGTACAACCTTTCACCACAAATCAGGAAATTTGCTACTTTAACAGTAGCTAAGGCTATGCTAACGGCTAAAGGGCTTAGTTATGCCAGCAGCTAAGTAAGGAGGTAGCCACGGATTACCCTGAAACAGTCCCTTGAAAACAGTATATAAAGCTTTAAGATGTGGGCGTTAGTAAGCAAAAGAAGTGTCAGAACAGGCAAATATTAAGAAAACAGAGAGGAATAAAAAACATAACTGCAGGAGAAGAGAAACCAAACTTAGCAATCTCACGGAGGAGAGCGTCCTAGCATAATGTGACGCTCTGACGCTATCACTTCTGTTGCTGTTGTATGTATCCCATTACAGAAATCTTAAAGTGTTCTTGTTATGAATAACAGGTTCCCTGCTACAACATGCTGTTAATATGTCACATTTATTTATCTAAATTAGCCTCCTTGATTAACAATAATTGGCACTGGTATCGGCCTTGAAATAAACCATGTCAGTCAACCACTAATTCTTTATATATTTTTGAGGTGTGGACAAAACATTTGAAATGTTGATCAATATTTGACATTTCATGGATCAAACAACTCCACGATTTGAGACTGGTTTTCATCTGTCTTAATGAATTTAGGTTTTTGATGTCAGATCTGTCTCAATGAAATAAGATTCTAACTAAATCATTACTGAAAGAATTTAAAAATGTCATGTGTTTTTCCATAAGAAGTAGCTCCAAACTGGCAGACACACTGAACTCTGGTGGCCGCCTGACACCGGATAATACTATTTCTCCAGAACCAGACAGGCAGCATGCCTCCCATAGCTGTTTCCTGCGATGTTTTTGTCCAGGAGAGCTTAGGCAGAGGAAATGAGTCTCGGCCGGGTTGTCGTCTCGTCTAGTTGACTGGTCAGACAGGTACAGTATCTGAAAGCAGGCCTCGACTCGTCCCCGTCTGTTGCTTTTGCCTTATATCTCCATCTAAGGATCTCTTACACTCCTGTTCTTTCTTTATCCTGTGTTTCTTTCTTCTGCTGCCATTTTTCCAAACATTCCCACCACACATGACTACTCCACCTTGACCAATCCTCTGGGCTCCTCCAGCTTTTTTCTTGTTGTTGTTGTTGAAGCCGCTCTGTCAGCCAGCTGGGAGACTTACAAGTAAGTATCTGTGGAATCTGAGCCTGGATATGCCTTCGGGGCCCAGACGTAATGACAGGGGTACGGTGGCACCTGCTCAAGTGTTAGACTAGCTTTGATGGGGTTATCCTCTCTTTTCATTTTTCAGCTGATTTTCTTCAAATTACACTCGGCAGGCCAAAGGGGCACCGTAAAACATCGCATTCTTGCGGTGGAATGCCTTTAATAGCTTGCCAATCCCTACATAGTGCATCTCTGGCTGGCAAGGTAAGCTTTATTAGCTGAGATTCCTGCGTGCCCACCCGTCGGTGCCAGCTTTAAGGAGTCCAGATACGTCCTTCGCTCCCCCTCAGCTGGGCGACCTAACATCGCGTGGCAAAGACAGAAGAAAGGAGTCGCTCCCTCTCTGGTTAAGGAGCAGAGAACAATGTCCTCTCTTTTCTCCCTCCTCGGATGTCTCCAGTTTGAGTTATGTAACTTGATACGGCGCAGAACCCGTCCAGTAGCCCGGCCTCGGGAAGGGAGACTTACACTCAGACTATTGTCCAGACAGTCCACTCTGACACAGCCCCCACATGCCCTCATTTTCCACCTCTTCCTCATTCGGCCTCTCACATTTTCCTTCCCCTCATCCCTCTTTCTCTGTTCCTGCTGTCTGTCTTTCAAACCAAAGCCTAATCCCTCGTTATTGTCTGATTATCTGCGAGTAAACACGACACACTGCGCTGTTGGTGTTTGTCCGGTGAAGCTGGCACGGGCATTTCATTGTAGGGTCTGAGCTTGTTCACATGCGGGGCTTTTGTTTCTGGAACTGGAGGAACAAGTCCAACCACGCCGGCCCGTGAGAGAGAGCTCGTAGCGCACAAAGAGATGCGCAGAAGGGCAGAGAAATTGTAGGGTGAACAGGAACGCTCTATTAGATGAGTCAAAATTAGCAAAACAGGACTCAGCTGCGTGGTTTCTCCCAGTTTCTTATGTGAAACACTGGTAAATCTACTGAAACCATCCTCACGAGCAGCTTAAGATCAGCTTAGTCTTCTATTTAGATCGGTGTAAAGTCATCCTGCATGTCAGCGGTTTAGACCGTTTCCTCCTCATCCACGCACCATCAAAGACTGGGAAACTGGAAGTCATGTGGCGTGACCTTCAGTAGCGTGAGAGAGGAATAGCGCCAGCATGGGATCAGGAGCACAGAGGTGAAGTTTCAGGTGGACAAACACACACACAGGTAAATGAGTTTTTTTTTACTACAAGCCATTATATTTAAACATATCCTCTGTAAAAAAGCAGTCTTTGTGTCCCTTATGTCAACATATAATTTGGGTTTTGAAGAGTCACTTGTAATACTGAAATTACCTTAACTCTAGACTTTGCTGTGTGAAACTAGGCTTCAGGTCAAATATATACTTCACGTGTATAGTTTATATATTTCCCAGCTTTCTGCAGTAAAAGTTTGAGTTGTTTACTTGCCGGTAACCTTAAAATGCTCTGAGCTCGTTGTGATTTAAGGCTGCGTTGTCAAAGAACAGCTTAAGCTCCATAGAGGAGCGGTAAGCAACGTGATTGTTAATTACGTTGCCCACGAGGAATGCTTGTTTGCTGTGGAGCTGAATTGGATTTAGGTAACTTTTTAACCTAATCTTTTCTCCTGGGAAAATGACGTCACACTGAGCAGCTTCCCCATTCACCTCAAGCACTGAACAAATATGCTAATTAGCTGCTAATTACTGAATGTCCCTAAATGGGGCCGCATGGCGCTTAAAGAACAATATGTGGGATTATTTGCTCCACTTAGCGATGCGTCTTGACTTCTTCAATAAACCAATCATTCCATTTCATGCATTCTTTGTCTGTTATATTTAAGTGATCTGTGGTCTGATGGTTCCTATTCATGTCCCTGGAATTCCCCCTGAGGACTATTTATGACTCTCTGTTCTCCTCAAGCGCAGTAACAAGATTTCATTGAACTTCTTTTTTCCACTGTCGACAACAGTCTCTCCAGTTTCTCTGTGCAGCTGAAAGCAGTGTCACAACTATACAAGGAGGAAATCTCCTCACGTTGACATCTCACTGCTGTTTCTTCTTGTTTTGTTGTGACTGTAAACTCCGTACAGTAAAACGGTGACATAATTTGGCTGAACCAGCTGGTTTTCAGTAGTTCCCATCGTGCTACTTCTCAGCACTGACAAACAACAAACACTCAGTTTATTTACAGAGAAACTCCAACGGGAAGGAAAAGTGCTGATCCTCCGACTGGGCATCAGCATGCGTCAGCGTCAGTGTTTACTACCTGACATCCGGGCCGCCCGGTTCTTCCTCTGGTGTTGGGGTGCAGATGAGATCAAAGAGAGCGTGCAGGGATGTGATCAGTAAAGCATTTTATCTTTGTGGTTTATTACATCCTAAATTGGAAGGCATTAACATTTTAAGCACAGTCATACTGTGCATGGGTCAATCCATATCTGTGTTTGCCTCTGAAGCCGGATCGATTTTTAGCTACAGTCCACACAATTCCCTGTTTGTGTTTGTGCTGAGTGTGTGGTCTGACAGTGAGGGTGGATGCATGCACATTCACTGCAGCTGTTAAGTGGAATCGGTTCAGGTGTGGGTCGATGTGGGAACCACTCGATTTCCATCGCTGTAATCACAGAGCGGTGACTCCTACATGAACCGCTCCAGGAAACAAAGAAGCCACAGAGAGAAGAGAGAGTCTCCGCTCAGCCTCCCCGTATCCCCCCTCTTTTGCTGTAAAGAATTTAATAAGAAGCTGGTCCTCTCGTACTTTGGTCTTTATCAGCTCAATTTAACACTGTATGGCCTTCCCACTCTGATTATGTGACTAAATTATCAGTCATTACGTTTTTGTTTTGTGCCAGGTGGTTCTCATGGGAACAAAGGTGCTTTGGATAATAGCCGAAAAATGTCCAGCAACACTTGAGGCCCTGCAGCAGAAGGAAACCGTTCACATCAACCGTATCAGTGCAACGTGTGCTATTTGATGCCACATTAATAATTACCCAGTAAGAAATGTAAGGAATGTGAGTTGGTTTCCTCACATCGCTCTGCTGATAGCAGCCTCGGACAAACACTGGACGGGTTTTGCTTGCTAACAAGGTGAACATAAACCAAAGAGAACTGGATTTGGTAAAACAAATAGTCCGCCATTCTGTTGTTTGCTTTCTCACAAATTCCACTGAAGTTACGTAAGGGAACATTTCAGTATGCTGCCATTTTTATAGCTGTGGATTTTCTTGTTGAAATCCGGACGATACAAAAAGAAAAAACCACCATGATCTCAGAGTTTACCGCTGCTGTAATCATCTCATCATTGTCTCAGAGCAAGTAAACATTTAGGGTTTTTTTTCATATATAGCACTCTCTGCATGCCAGGAACTGTACTTTGTATATGTTAACACCTGAAAGCGGTGCCAAAAATGATCATCCAGACAAGATCAAAGTGTCCGAATAAGAAACATAAAAGCCAAAATGCGTCATGCTTGGCGGGTTGAAATTACACAAGCAATGAAAAGATGCATCATCTCGGTAAGTTCAGGATGTACAAATGCACCAAGTGTTCAGAATTTGCAGAGTAACTGAAATTTATTTCAAAGTCCATCTTACTTCTTAAAAATATGCTGAATTTCAAGGATACTTCTCTTTGTATAGTTTGTGTCCGTATGCAAGGAAATACAGGCCTTGGATTTTCCTTCATCATAGTTACTTTAGTACTCTACTGTGTAATACAAGAGCAATTCTTTATTCCTGCTGGTGTAATGTTTGGCTTAAGGTGTTGCTGCTCGCAGATTTCTCAATGTTATCAACCACCTTCTGATCCAAACTACTTCACAGTCCACACATTAGCTGACACCTTGTTGGGTATTAGCAGCTCTGTTGAGAAAGAAGGTTAACCCGAGTGTCAGTCTAAAATACTCCCACACTTTAGATGAGCATCTATAAGGCTTTTTTCTTTTAGCTGCAGCTTATTCTTCAGGGCATTTGATGCTATGACAGGGCACAGCTATTTTCGTAACAGTGATTATGTTGATAAGTCACACCGTAGTTACCAGCTGCCATTACAGGATTGTCTTTTTATGTTGCTTGAGAACCACTTATCTGACTGACTTCGGTTTCGACACTGCACTTCGTTGGGTCGCCAGCAAAACACCCACTAAGTGTCAACAAGATTGGATGAAGTGTTTTTGAGAAAACCCAAGAACAGACACACACACATACATAGAAACTTTACATTTCCCGCCATCAGTTATTAGTGAGTTGTCCTTTGCGTCTTCCGGTGCTGACTTCAGCAAAATATCAAGTCTGTAAACATTAGTTTTTATACTAAAGCCCTTTTTAGGGTTAAATCAGAGAGCTTAATTAGCTAGCCGACGACATTTGACTAATTCCGCTCACGACTGTTACTGTCTGTCATTTTCGTCAGATGCTTTGCTCATCATGGACCTGTCACTTTACTCAGGTATTTTGAGTGGGAAACCTGCCACCACTGTAATTATAAACTACTTTAAAGGCCATGCGATGATGGAAAGATTGACGGGTGTAGCAACAACAACTGGGAAACAGTCAATTGTTTGAGTTGTTTAGATTATTACTTCCTTCAGTTCAGCCCCTACATCACTATCTCACTCACTATCGCAGTTGTTCTTTGAAATAGGGGATACATCTGAAATTCTATTTTGATGAAGGATAGTAATCCACCTTTCAGATGCGTATAGCAGATTAATTCTATTATTAGACTGTGGTCAACCAATGTTGGTTTTCCAATGGCAGATGCCGAGAGAGCATGATCATTATATAAACCAGATAATATGTATATTTTTGTTCTGTTTTATATCTGGTAAAATACAACAATTGATAATAATACCAAATGAGACAAAACTCTGAACTTGAATGAACATCAGCATTACCTTGAGTAGATTTGTGCTCTGTCCCCAGTGCGCTTATATAAAAGTCAAATAAATATCTACAAGCAATCAAAATGCTAAGCTTTTTAAAAAATATCCCAAACTTATGAATAAAAGAAAAATAGAGTTTTAGTGCACCTAATGTCCCCATTTATCAGCCCATAGCATCTTCTACTACTGTTCTAGTAAACATATTGATGTCTGCTCAGCTACCCTTTACAGATTTGCACCATGGAAAACAACCAGTTAGCTGCATGGCTAGTCACCACTAGCCAGTGCTGACTGACCCAGTGCAGCCACTATTAGCCATCCCATTGGTAATCAACTGATGCTGATTATCTCAAAATGACATTTTATCACCATTATTAGTTATATCTGATGTAACATGCGGTGTTTACCACTCAGGGTTAGTGGTAGATTAGTATGGTGTGAGTGAAGGGCAAGTGGATGTCACTTAAAACAACACTGAGGTCAGGTACTTATCCTTATACTGCTGCTACTAATCTCTCTATCACACACAGACACTCACACATTCTAAGAGGTTGAACTTGTAACCTCACGGAGGGATCAGCGCAGACATTCATCTAAACAAAGTTCGGGATTATGCAATCAATCCCGTCCGCTCTCCAAATTGAGGATATCGTAACAAAACATACTGTTTGTACTGAATCACTGACGGAAGAGAAGCAGAGTAGGGTTGCTGATGAATAAATCTCCCCATGAATAACACTAATAATACATTTGGGGGTAAGTGGAGGGCCTGGGGTGCTGTCTTCTCATAATGAAGCAGCTTTACGTAACATCAGTCAGCTCCAGATCAATGAGGTTCCATGAAACATGAGTGCAGCCAGTCACTCCAGATAACCCCGGCATGGCTACTGTAGTCAGAGCCAGTAATTGAATTCTGTGCAGAAATACAATACTGTAAAGTCAACACAGGCAGTAAAAGCCTGAGCACACTGTGCAGCCTCCCATCAATGAGCCAACAGATGCAAAGTGAGGAAACCGATCTCAGCTGGTCTGCCTCAGAGGAAGTCTTGACAGCTGATTTAGTGGAGTTAGTCCAGGGCAAGGCCTCGGAGCAGGACTGTGAGATTTCTAAACAGAGCTGTTGAGCTCATGAAAATTAAACTGGTTTTTACTGCAGATTCTCTAAAGTAGCTGTTTTCTTTTCCAATTCTCTGAAGGTTTGAGTTTCTCCTAAGTTGCAAGGATTTCCCTTCTGGGTCGGTAATTATGGATGCCGCTGTGGAAATTATTAATGAGTCTCATCTATCTACTGTACTCGGTGAGGAGAGCGATTTGTAGA